GTTGTTTTAAGTATCAGTTGATACTTAGTTTGTTTTATGTTTTGTTTTAAGTATCGGTTGATACTTAGTTTGTTTTATGTTTTGTTTTAAGTATCGGTTGATACTTAGTTTGTTTTATGTTTTGTTTTAAGTATCGGTTGATACTTGGTTATTTTTATATTTTGATTGAGTAAGAACATGAGTGAGAATTCATGATCACACTCAAACACATGTACTTAAAAAGACCGCCGTTTTCCACTTTGGAAACGGCAGACTTCGACTGTAACGACCCTACGAGATAGAGCTATGGTAACCTACGTCTACGCCCATACATAAGACCAAGAGGTCAGATGGTAGACGAGGTGGATATGTAGGCGCATATCCAAGAGATATCTGATGGTGCGGAAATCTCTAAGAACAGAAGGTACTTAAGGAATAGGTGTGCCTAAGTAGTGGTAATAACGTGACAATGTCCGCTCTAGCCTATGGATAGGTCAGAAGGCCGGGTGAGTTTACCCTACCCAAGGAAGTCACGTTACCCTACCATGAAGACTGGTTTCGTGTCACCATGGACATACTTACCCTACCTTTGGGACACTATTACCCTACCTTCCGTCGGAAATGTTCTCGGAAGAATTTCGGGAAATGTTAGGATTGTTTGTTACGCAATGACGATCGACGGGCACTTGATTGCACTTTGATCGGAAGACTACGGGAGGAGCTATAGTGCTCCGAGCAAGCTGTAACTTGGTAGAATTATTCCTAACAGGTACCTGCGGCCCCAGGGTTCGCCCCGGGCGTCATGGGCCAAAATGGATGGAGTTGTCGTTATGCAAGTTAAATGGAATCTATGAAGACATGTCCATAACACTGTATGCGTCGTCGCCGTCCGTCCGACCGGAAGCTATTCGCAGGATATATAAGGGGGCCAAGGTGAGAAGGTCAGGTACCTTCTCCAAAAGGAACGGAGTAAAACGGACCAAAACTGACGGAGTTAGCGTGAGCTATCCGGAAGGGTCCCCAGAGTAGTCCCGGGTAGTGCCGGAGACATCTGGGAAGGTTTTACGCCAATCAAGCCTACACGTGCCCCTTTGCCTTGAGCTCTTTGTGGGTTATTTGAAGACTCTAATAGCATGATACTTATCACGGCAAGTGGTGTGCCGGGGGTAAGGGACCATGGGTAGCGCCTATGGGTCCCGCCGCCGACACAGCTCTCCGGGGGAGCGTCGTAGACCCCCTAAGTTCACAATCAAGAAAGATAGAACTTAGCCGGAAGACAGCTGATGTCTACGAATGCTTGCATAGATCATAGCATATGGGAAGAGAGTCATTTAGTTAGCTTTCCTAAGGGTCTCGACAGTTAGCTACTGACGAGACACCGATGTGCAGAGGTTTTCACTCCGGCAGGTGTATTGGTAAACACCTTGCAGAAACTGATGTGCATAAAGGAGATTTCTGCTAGAGTGCGCTGACACCTATGGCCTTTCGGGGACACAGAAATGGTCCCGGGGCAACCCTTACGGAGAAGGGCATACTCAAGTTGGTCGGGGTAAACTGATGGGGGAGTTTTTGGTATAAGTCTGACTACTTAAAGATTATACGAGAACTCTCCTACCCCGACACAATCAACATCCTCTCGAGAGACTTTAATTGAGATAAGCCTGAGCTTAACGATATTAAGTTTTACCGTTTACTTTTATTCTTTACACTTTTGCAAGAGCTGTGTTCGAGAGATTGGAAGTTTGGTGCGGTCGCATCCTTGGGAGCCATCTACCTGAGGGAGCCCCCGTTACATCGACAGATAGTATTCTAATATACTCGGTTGAACGGTTATCTCTATTCTCCTAGTACACCACCGAAGCCTCCCTTAGCGAGCCCAAACTGTTACTCTCCGGTAGAGAAACACTCAGCTCCTATTGTACACAGCAGCGTGACTAGCACCCCGGCGTGAACACGTTACATTTAGCCTGAAATATCATGCCTAGCAGAATGCCATCAAATGCCGGATGGAGTATGACAGGATTTAGAGCTTCTGACACTCAAGTGCAGCTCAATGGGCAGGGCTGCAGGCATACGCCCTTACTGTTAAGCCTATTACAAGCAATAGCAGGGTGCAATACTGGGAGGAGGACACAGTGAGGGGCAGGCATTTTACAGAATGTCTGGATTACTTGCTCAAAGATGTAGTAAAAAAAACTTTTGCAGACAGTAAGCTATTATAGATCTTGGAGGTGAACTTAAGCCTCTAGGAAATCAATATAAAATGATTTATCGCTTTCAAAAATTACTATCGCTTAAGAATAACTCTAAAAACTAAGAACTTGAAAGGAGTTGACCATATGTACATAATCTTTGGTGCCAAGCCGTCCCCCGTTGCAAAATCTGAGATCACAATAGACGGCCGGAACTCATAGATCCTTCTACCCATATTTGGTTGTAGCCCTATGTTACAAATCCCAAATAATACCTGATTCCGAATACGCGATGAAATTACAAGTACCCTGCCACAGTAACTCAGTCTGGACCCCGGACAACGGGCTACCGTACCTGGTACAGTACTTGTACTTGCAGTGTATCGGACGAAAGAGGGCTGATGGTTTTACACCACTTTTCACCGCTTAAATATGTTACCACCGGCACCGCATTACAGTTAGTAGTTATAAATGACATCGGTACTTTTTCAGCCAACCTTGAGCGGACATTGGACCGAAGCTTGTGCTTTCCAAAACAAAAAACAAAAGATGGGAATGTATCATACCGTACGAGTACGGCAGTAGCCTGTGCTGCCCTCCCCGGGTACTGTGCCATAGACTGCCTAAGGTAAAAATAAAAATAAAAATAAAAGTGAAATAAGAACAGGTATCGCCACAGGAATTCGTGAGATGGGAGGTGTGTGTTCAAGTTCTCGACCTCCTAACATCTCGGAATCGTTGCATCGGCGGGCAGGAAGGAAGGGGGTCTCCGTGATAGTGCGAAGACAGTGCAGCAGGCCGCTTGTTCCGTACGGCAACATATTCGAGTGGTACCGAAGGCGCCTACAGATACCGGTAGTACCGGTACCCTGATTCACGCAATAAATACTCGATCGAACCTCACCGACACTAAGCATCGCAGGGTACACTGCAGTATGGCAGTCACCCTACCATTATTTTCTCCTTCCCGCGCTGATCCGCACGATGGCTCACTGGATTCTCCTTTCAAAGGTAGCTTAATAGGGTTGGTTGGTTAAGAGTATCTACAGCATCGGTCAGTGATGGTACCGTACGACCACAATCGTGGTACCGGTATGATGGCACTCGAGGCTACCAACACCATCATACCTGAGATCCAACGGCACCTACCGTACGGATGGTACAAGTATGATACGCGAAATGAGAGATCAAACATTCCGCTACAAAATCATTTATAGTCAACAATGGGTGGTACTTGTACAGTACGAGTACGGTACAGGACTACCGTATTACGGGAACAGCACTTGAAAATCTATTGTTGTAAGGTGCCAAGTTCCCCCCGGACCGGTCGATCAGGCAAGGCCCCCAGTTAAAAAGTCCGGCACTCGGCTCTGATAGTCCTGGGTCCTTGCAGATGCAGGCCCCCATCACACACGCCTAACCCAGTCGATAGGACAAAAGAACAGGTCGGAGTGCAGCGCCTCCAATCGCTCGGTCCCAACAGCTGCTCGTCTTAACCATGATTGGTGGACTATGAGGCCATGGTTACCCTACTTTCTGAGACAGACATGGCTTCTCACCTCCCGCTTTCGAATCGCCTCGTGAGCGGTCAGAAAGCCCCCACCCCCTCCTTCGGTTCTTTTGTCAAAAATTGCTAACCACACCACACCCCACACGTTAGCCAGGAAAATAATAATCCCCTCAACCTCCAACCAGTAACTCTTCGTTGGGTTCCCCTCGTGATGTGCTGTCCTACCTTGCTTCCCACCGCAACCCCTGCTCGACCAATTACTGCTGCTGTTTCCCAATCGAAACGGCTCATTACCGGTACTCGTAGAGGCATTCACTCCCGGGGTTGAAAAACGTTTGTGCAAGTTTTCGAGGTGAAGGACTATTTGAGTATGGTTTGTGTAACGCTTTATTGCATGCGAGCACAAATCTAGCGGACCCACTCGAAACTTCAATCTTGGCGCTCGAAAATCACTTTTTCGACCTGGGGCTGAATGCCTCTCTTCTATCATTATCCTATTGTGTTGTACCCTACGAGTCCTGCGCTGCAGGCATACCGGTGGGGGTGGGTTGCAGGAGTACAAGCACGGTACTCGGGCAGCGCGAAAAGCTTCTGAAATCCGCTCCCCCAGCCAGCCCCGCAATCTCCGGATTCAGAGTTAAAAGCTCTGGAGAGAGATTAGCGCGCTCTTGACACGATAAGATCAGTCCGCTGGGCGTGTTGGGGCTCGTCAACTGGTACCCGCAATTCTGTTAGCCCATAAACCTATCGTGGGCCGACGGGCTGGTTTGGGCTAATAATATGATAGTATCTATCACACAAGTAGATTTCGAGAGTATTTACGGGACTCGAGCTCCGGTGGGTCAAGGATGCTGATTGTGAGGACATGCTTGTACCGGTACCATGTTGGACCAATCCCCCCTCTGTGGCTTGGTCTTATCCTATCAACGACCAGCAAAGTCCCCGTCTGCCTTCCACGAGTGCAGTTTTACGCTCCACAACCGAGTCCCAAAATAAACAGCTGGCCGCCAAGACGCTCGACGGACTACCGCTAGCTTCGACAGCATACCAGTATGTAATCTAAGTGCGCGCTACACACCACAGTCCAAGGGCTCTTTTCGAAGCTGTCATTCACTGCACACGGTGTTCTCATCCTACCACGGGGGATAGGAAAGAAGAAAAAAAAACCTAGGGCAGATGAATATCGACTGCCAATTGCTCTCGCCTATATCGGACCAGGTCATATCACCTCCCGGTGCAAACCCGCGCAACCCCCCTCCACCACACGTCTCCTGGCAGCAGTACAGCATCAGTCCCCTGTAACCTTCGCTCGTCCCCCGATGGCCTTATCTTGGTGGTGGTGGCTTTGGTGGGCGTTCGGGGTTTGCTCAGTACTCATCTCTGGCGCCGGGGCACAAAGGAGAACAAACTTTAATCCCGGTGACGAGGAAATCAGTGCTGTCCCGGGGGATCTCCGAGACGACCGAAAGCCCGCTCTATATACCGCAGATTATGGCGATTGCATGGAGGATTCGGCTATCAAGATCACTAGGTTTGATGCAGCGTACTATTCGGACAATATGACGATTAGTTTTAATATCAATGGGTACACAACTCTTGTGAATGAGAGCCTGATGAGTTAGTTTTCCTCTTACCCTCTCTTCCTCGATCTGATTCCTGTGTGCTATGCTCTGACATGGCGATGCAACCCACAAACATCTAACTTTCATTAGTTCATCTCAGTGTTGCGGCTTGTACGTTCGGCATATATATTTTCTAGATTTAAAGATAAACCTTAACTCAGATAGAACAGAGCTATCAACTGACGAACAGTTAGATGGGAAGAGCCGGTTTGATTTATTATTCAATCCTTGTCGGACTAATATCCCTTCCCTATGCCCCGTGACCGCGAGCGTAAACATCACGGCCACGCACGCTGTCCCAGTGTCAGAGAGCGAAGTCTCGGGAATTCCAGGTAAGGCATTTTTATGACGAAAAAAAATCAGGAAGCAGTTTCAATATAACTTATCCATTCATAATCTGATAACGGCGCCTATTATAGCAATCGCATTCACAATCCCAGACTTTGAGGGGCGTGCAGACCTACGTATGTTCTCAAACAGCACGAAAAGCCAAACCGCCTGCGTGACCGCCCTGATCACCAATGGGCATAGCTTTTCCCACCCGAAGATCATTTCCCCGGCATTGGGTGTTTTGGCCGCGAGTGCGGGCCTCGCCTCGTTCATAACCGCTATGAGTGGCGGTGACTCTGTCGTTTCATCGAGGAAATTGCACGCGCATTCTCTGTCGACGTACACTCTGCTCTCCTGTTTTCACTCTGTATACCTCACCGGCACTCTCAGCGTAAATTTCCCGAGCGTGCTTCTGGCCTTCTGGTCGAACTTTGCATGGTCCGCGGGAATTATCAATCTGGATTCTATGCAGAGATCACTGAACCGCTTTACGGGGGGGGCAAAGCTTGTTGACGGGAGCCTCGCACCGGACAGTAGGTCCTTCGAAATGGCAAGCGACCTCTATCCGCTAGCGAAAAGATATGTTAGGTTCGGGGAACACCAAAAAGCTGGGCTCCCGAAGCCCGGTGATTTTACCGGATTCCCCGCTACTTTAGCCGTGAGCCAAGTAATCGTCAGAAATGCATTCATCACATCGTTCCTGTGGTTACTGATATTGCTGGCAACTGTGGCTATCTCAATAATCGGACTTAAACTAGCAATTAACGTCTCGATCAGAGCAGGAATATTAAAGAAAAATCGCTTACTGATATTCAGAGAGAGCTGGTGGGATTACCTAGAATCTACGCTTTGCAAAGTGGTTTGTCCACCCCCGCCTCCCTCCCTCCAATTTGACATAAATGTTGGATTATATGTGAAAAAGGCCATATGATATACTGACCCGCCAATAGTTTTTGATCGCTGTTTTCCCGCTAGTGTCTCTGGCAACCTTCCAGTTCACATTACATGAGGCAGGACCATCTGCTGTCGCCGCATTTGTATTCATCCTGTTGACCGCAGGGCTATCTGCGGCTGCTTTTGCCGCATATCGGGCCCGTTGGCGTAGGGGAAGGGTACGGGTTAATCGGATGAACCTCGTGATATATCCACAATTCAAGGCTGGTTTCATTCCGTGGATGGTCGTATCGCGCCGTAGTAGCATCGATGGCACTAAAAGGAGAATAATAATGCCCTGGTGGGAATTGTCTATCGAGACGGATGGCGAGCGAGGTTCGGTTCATGAGAACCTCAAGTTCATTCGTCAATTTGGGTGGCTAACCTCCCGGTTTCGGAGGCGGGTGTGGTGGGTTTTTGGGCTCTTGTTATTTTTCGAGATCTTAAGGGGGATCCTCCATGGAGGCGGTGGTGGAAACTCGAAAGCTCAGATTTATGGGCTACTGATCGTCGAATCAATCTATTTTATCGTTCTGGCTTACACAATGCCCTTCGAAAGCACTAGGTTCGTGATGACACCCATTCTCACGCATCCTTTTTTTCTCCCTTCTTTCTTCTTACTCACCCCTGAAATTGGCTCATGCATCTGTCCATATGTCCTTTGCAGATTGAATGTATTCACCGCTTATATGCTCCCAATCATGAGGGTCTCCACCCTTGTGATCCTATGCGTGGTCTTAGACACTCCTAAGCTAAACGTAAGCACCCGTATACACGCTTGTCCACAATGACATGTTTTACTGCGAGTGTCTGACCGGAGAGGGAGAGCAATCGTACAGAGAATCATAGTAACAGTCCTCGGAATTGTCATCATTGTGATCCAAGGGGCCACAGTGGTCGTGGTCATCGCCTTCGCTCTGATAAATCTCTACGCCACGTATTTAAAAATTGCTCCTCGAGGGGCCCAAATCAGGCCAGAAAACATGAACCCGACAAGGGAGAAGTACTTGGACCATATCGAGAAACGGGCATCAGACCTCCCAACGGTGTGTAGCGCACAGCAGCAGTTGTCCACCACGGACCCTGCCCCTTCGTCCTTCAGCGTCAATTATATCCGTAGGTGCCCCAAAATTGACGACGAGTGCGACGGCCCAGCGAGATCGGTCTTCTCACGAAACTCATATATGGGATCAGCGGCCTGGGAGCGTGGAGAAGACGAGCCTGTCTCTAGGGTTGGCAGTCCGAATTACTCCCTTGCTAGGCTGCAGAGACCCGTGTGGCCGGTGGATAGTCCAGGGTTCGTGAATGCCAGTGAAGCCATGTCGACCTCTCCCTCTCATGCAAATTCCGATATGGACCCGCATTTCTCCCAAGACTCTGCGGCGCCCCCGAAAGACGCTTCCAGTATACATACTACCACCACTAGAGAAGTATGAGTTATCAACCAAAATATTACAATAATATTATGTAGCCCTTTTTTCCCTTTCCTTTTTCTTTGCTTTTTTGTGATTGACCACAGAAACGGGTGTTGGTGGGTCTTTATGCTGGTCTCATATTCCTTTTTTTCTCCCTTCCATGTCCCTTTCTTTCATTATTTCGTTCACATTTATTCATCCATCTACCAGTACTTGTCTACATGTACAAGTACTCGAGTACCGCTCCCAACCACACCTGGAACAGACAGAGAGAAGTAAAAAAAGAAAATAAATGGGGGAAGGTCGGGTCAACATTCAAATAAATAATACCGTCATACAGTATGCAGAGATCAACACCGATACTCGAGTAAAGCAGTGCTTGTGGACGCCCGCGAAAATCACCTAGCGCATGCGGCGAGGATTCGCGGTGGCCGCAGGGAGCAAGAATAAGCGAACGTTGAACAAATTTCGTCAGAGGTCTGTGCCAAACCACCCTATGTGATTTGACAGCGGCAGAGTATGATACCGTATTGTTACGAGCACTCGTAGGCGTACGGTATGTACGAGTACGGAGCCGGTAGGGTGAGAAAGGGAGGGAGAGAGGCACGCACGATACGCCAGGGAGATGCCAGGTATCACACAACCTGTGATACCGAACCGTAATCCCGCGACCGGCACGGCATGAGCGAAGCCCGGGCCTTCCTCTGCTCTCTCCGACCACCGCACTATTGCATACAAGTACTCGTATAGTGCCATCCCATCCCATCCCTACCGGCACCGCATTGGCCTCGAGCACCCGTACTTAGCACTATCACAGCACAGCGCCGGTACGATACCACGATAACACGAAATTTCTCAGGAGTATCATCATACGAACAAATGACTTGTCGCGTACCGTACCGTACTTGTACCGAACCTCCCCCCTTACCCCCAGGGTTGGCACGGCTCCACCGGTACCGGTACTTGTACCGGTATATCACACTGCACTATTTATACCAGTAATCTACGAAACCGACCCACTGGTATATCAACTCTATACCGCACGAGTACTATTATACTCTACGGGCACGATACGAACAGTAATTATAGAAATAATAGTAATAATAACAATAATAATAACAATAATAATAATAAAAAAAACCCTTGAGACACAATAGGATACTTGTAACGATTAGACCTGCGTTGTGCTTCTCAACACACACCCCCTTTTCTCGTTTAGTGAATTCGCTCCGATTTCAAGTAAATTGGGGAGGGGGGGTGGAGCCCCCACTCACGGTGATATAGGGAAGGATAGTGATAATAACCGTAATAACTACTCGAGTAGTTCTATCCTATAGCCGCGTGGTCTAATTGGGATTGGAAATTTCCAGCTCAGAGATGATACTGTACTCGTACGAGTACTCGTACTGTTATTGTGCAGGGGACAAGGGTGTAGCCATGCGAGCTCATAGATCTTCCTTCTGCAATCTTAAGTGCTCGTGCTTGTTGTACTCGAGTACTAGTAGAGTGGAGTACGTGTTGATGGGTAGGTACACGTGTAGTGGGTAGGGGGCGGTGAAAACTCTACCGGTATGAATAACACCGCCACTGACGGTGCCCTA